GGTTGCAGCCGTCATTGTTGTTTGGCGGGTCCGGGCTGGGGATTCGAACCCGCCACCTTAGGTGTACGTGGCTGGCGCCTTAGCCGGTTGAGCTACAGGTGCCGAGCCGGCAGTCTCTTGAGGACAATGGAGTACAAAAGGAAATTCTACTTCTCTGTTGACTCAAGAAAAAAATGTAATGGCAGTAACAGACTCCCCTTTCCTCATTAAAGAAGACTCCATTAATGTACATAGTTACCATTCAATAAAAAAAAAAAAAAAAGACTCAGGTTTTCCATGATTATCTGTGATAATGATAGAGATAGTGCACTCACTTTTCTACAGACCAGCTGCTTTATTTAATGCAGTTTATATTTTAAGAGGACAGAAATGATATTAATATCATCCATGTCTAATGAAGGCAATAAATTATAATAAGTTGATACATTGTAATAAGCTATAATAAGTTGTGGCTAGAATAGGAATGATGACTTCACAATGTAGATAGTTGGTTTATTGGCTTTGTAGAAAATAGTATGTAACAGGTGTGAGCTTGGAATTGTTTATTCATCCAACTAGCCATTCCTCCATCTATTTATCTATAAGTGTCTATGTATATGTGTATGTATCTCTTTCTGAATTGTGAAATCAGTGACATCACTAATTTTGAGAAAAATGGTCTGCTCACAAACCTTATCCCTCCCCCTTTTTTACTTTTATTAGTTCTTCTGTGGCAGTGAATGGGATTATAATCAGTCTGTGCTGTAATTCCAAGACCAAGTCAGTAGCATTGCAGCTGGCTGATGGCCAGATACTTAAGTACCTTTGGGGTGAGTATCAAAGTGGTAGGAAAGCATGCTTGTAACTTAGGTAGATGTTTAATTCTTGAGAATATGTACTTGTGAGTATCTTGTCAGGATAACATTGATTGTTAGGTGATTTAACTACCTTGGAAAACCCTAACCTGTGGAGTGGAATTGCAGAGTTTATTTTACTCCTGTTTCCTCGTGGAATAAACTGAAGTACCCTAACAAGTTTCCAAAATACATTTGGAAAGTGATCCAAATTGCATGCTAAATGTTTTAGCAAGTATTGATGTTGATAGTTTTCTGCAAAGAGTGTATCAGCTGTTTGTAAACTTGATCCTGCCAATCTTGCAGAGTCGCCCTCTCTGGCCATTAAGCCATGGAAGAACCCTGGTGGATTTCCTCTTCAGTTTCCTTGTGCGTGCACACAGACAGAATTGGCCATGATTGGAGGAGAGGTAAGTGAACACAGGGCAGGAAACTTAACAGCTAAAGTAGTTACTCAGGGACTGACAGCATTAGGTGAAAAGAGTAAGGGCTTTGGAGGTGAACCGAGGTCTCCACTAAATTCCAAGACAACAATGGGAAGTTATTTCACTTTCCTGAGCCACACGGTGTTCACCTATAAAATGGGAAAAATCTTCCAGGGTTTGGAGGAAAGACTAAATGAGGTAATGCATGTGATTGGCAAACTTTTATTGCTACTTACACAGAAAATTTCAAGTCAGTTTTATTAAATATCTTTTGAAGAAAACAGAAATGTGAATTTGAAAATGTAAATATTCAATAAATACTGGAATGCTTATAATTGTGGTAGATGATAACATACAGCAATAACAAAATAAAACAACTCGACTAGTTTCTGCTCTTCTGGAACTTGTACTCTCTTAATATAGGTATAATTGTTCTTCTGCTGGGAGAGTGAAAGAAATGGACAGGGTATTACGGTAGAGAACAGTGAAGTATAAGTAGAGGATGGTAGCTATGAGAGTGGGAGTCCTACTGTTTTTTTTTTTTTT